GGGGGGGGGGGGTGAATTGATTTGGATAAAAATTATTTAGCAATTATATGGGCTGTTCGGGAATTAATTAAAATGCATATCGATACTCTATACAGGGTGTGTCGGGTGGTTGGTGTAATTTATTTTTAGCTTTCGTTCGACTATGACCAATCGATATGTATTTTGGGCCTTAGGTATTTGGAGGGGCGAGAATTTTGTTTATGCAATTCCCATGAGTCATCCACGTTGCTGGCCGATGTTTGTGCTGCGTCGGCTGCGAGGACGACAACAAGTGGGTGAGGAAAGGGTTGAAATGTCTGAAAAGGGTGGACAGACATGGGACAAACAAACTAGGAGTCCGAGGAACTCTGGCCGATCGCCCATTGCGTTTTGAACAGTTCAATTTTACACTGTACGTTGGTGTACTGTATTCGAAACGAAATAGGTGGGAATGGAAATTTTGTAAATAAATTTTTTTATCGTTCATACTTTCGGAACGAATGCAGATAAGGGGAAGTGGTAATTTTGATTGAATTTCGAAAATTTGTATCAGGGGTTTGGCCATTGGACGATTGATTATTATTATTTAGAATTTTTGCAATTTTCGGGTTATCTGCTCGACTCGAAATTTATGTCGCGAGCAAGAAAGCTTCTTGTCAAGAACAATCCCTTGGCCTACCTCGATATCAGCGTAATCGTAAATACCGAATTGGAAGATCGTGGAAGAAAAAAATATATTTTCACCCACGCTTCTTCGAATACCGCGAGAAATGGAGAAATTCGTATTAGAAGCTGGAATGGGTTTTCAAGAGCGTGTAAACTGCGTGTAACCGGATTAGCTCGCGTGTAAGCTGGGAGAGTTCAATGCTCAATGCGTATTATTGGCCGACAATGACGTCATTGTATAGCTCACCAACGCCCATGTACACAGGTTTAACAGTCTATGCGAAAACCTTACTGCTAGTGGCCAAGGTAGTCGATTGAAAAAAAATGAGCATTTGAAAAAAAAAAAAAATCTACGTTTAAATGAAGTAGCTAAAAAAAAGTGTACGACCCATAAAAATATAATTTTTTTTTTTTTTTTCCATTAATCGCAGTCATAAATTTTACATCTGCCTGTACACCCATATGGGTATGTGCAATAACGTAATCTCAGTCGTTCCATCAACCCCGAAGATGCTCTGGTCACCTCTCCGTCGGTTCTTCGTATGCCTTGGCCCCGTACGTACCTATACCGTTGTATCGAAATGGCGGCGGCGTAAACCGAGGCCGGCAGGGGATAGCCATTTCTATCGTGCGGTTCAGCCGAGCAGCCAGACAGCCCGAGATTATTTGGATCCGATAGAATGGCAACAATTGAGCTTTGTAATCGGTCCTCTCTTCGATAAAGACTTTGTTGGCCACCCTACCAATACCAGCGCCAGCACCATTACCGTACCACCCCTAGCGCCTAACAGTACGACCAGCCTCCCACCTCTCAATCCGGACCACCCTATCCCTCCCGCTCGTACCGATCTCTGACTTTTCTCCCTTTCTCTTACTTTCTCTCATTATTCCAGCGCTAACCGAACCCCAATGGAATCACCTGTTGGCTATAAACACCCGTCAATTCCTTCGCGTTCTTTAACCATTGTTTCGTACCCCTGTCGCCGGGGGTTGAAATTTTTTTTTTATTTATTTTTTTTTTCTCTCCAAAACCCGCGAGCTTTCATCCCCTTGGCACGAAACGAGATAAAACAATATCTTCGGGTTCACGCTCCAACGCACTCTGCGTATCTCGGGCGTTATTGAGACGTTGGATGCTGTGATAAAAAAAATTTTTTTTTTTCAATTTTGAATTTTGAATTTTTTTTACAACCGGTCATTTACATGGATTCGGAACGTTGGTCGAATTTATCTGTCTTGTAAGGGGTTTTGTACGGTGCGTGAAATTTGTGTAAAAAAATTTTTGACTTTTATCATTTTTCGAAATGGGGTTTTTTTTCTTTTTTTTTTCGGTAAAGGGTCGGACTGACGTTCGTATCCTCTCGGAACTTTGACTGACTGAATCTCAAGTCCTCCAGTGCGTTTGTATTACGTACAATGAGGTTTCGTGTTCACTCCACGGTATACTCGTATAAGGGATATACCGGGTGACACCGATATACATTGATGTATAAACGTAGGTAAGCTACGGAACCACAATGCAATGGCAGCCATCGAGTATCACAAACATTGATTTGAATCACAAAGACCTCCCGTGGTTCTTCTATTGTCAGCCTGACTTATTGTACCGTCTCTCTACTCTCTTACTATCCATTTTACTCTCCTTCTACTCTCTCTCTCTCTCTCTCTCTCCCTCCCTCTCTCTCTCCCTCTCCCGTCCCTTGTACACCCCCTTTTTTCTTACGCTCTATCAATCTACTTTACCCGGTTATGTGCCACTTGTGGCATTTCGACTACCGTTGACTATATCGTGCATTTCTCTCTCTCTCTCACTCTGTCTCACGGAGAGAAAGATAGAGGGGTCTCTCTCTTTCTCATACTTTTCCCCGTACCCACTTTTCAGACGGTTTGAAAGTTTCTCGCGAGCAAACCACCTTGCCATTAGGTATCAAGAAAGTTTCGCGGTACTAAGGGGGTGTGATTTTGGCTGGTGTGAAACGATCTGTACTTTTAACTGTTTCATATATATATATATATGTATGCATGTTTATATATTTATACAAATTCCATGCCCGATTTAATGCAGGTATCCAGCCCACAGGTATATACCCCGAAAATACATACAATAGAGCCAACTTAGCCCGGAGGTAGATAATTGGATGGGTTTGAAAATAAAAATTAATAGTTTTATTATATATAAAGTGCCCAGGAGTCATCTAATCTTCTTATTGCAATTTGCCGTAAATTTGTCAAATTTAAGTAAATCCTTAAAAACAAATCAATAGTTTTCGTTGTAAGTCATAACCGTCAGCGTGACGTCATACCTTTAATCACACCGTACCAACCCGACCCATGATTACCCATCCCCCTGGAAATCGACTTGCTAATTAATATTTATGGTTCAAAGTGCGAAAGTCGTTGTTTACGGGTGGAAAAATTGTTTTTAAGTTTTTTTTTTTCGTTTTTTTCATTTTCTCAACGCTTCGCAATTTTTGCCATTATCCGTGCATCTTTCGGTATTTTACAATTTTGTTCAGGCCTGATTTTCACCTAGCGCCGTCTCCGTTTCGTATCGGCATCGGGTTTTTATTCTACAGGCGTTCGGCGACGTTCGAAGGAGGCTTCGGAGCCGGGGCAAAAAGTAACAAGCCGAGCGCGAACAAACACAAATACAAACACAATAAGGATTGAAGGCGTTTGTTCGTTGAAATTGGACGTGGCGCGCGGGCCCCTGTTCAACCACTCCTTTTATTGTCAGGCCTATACAGGGTGTGCTATGATTATCTATGACGCATTCTTCCATTATATATCTCGCGGCAACAGGTCCTATGCACTGCGAGGCCGCTTAAACGGCGTCGCAGCGCGTCCAATAAAGATCTTTCGAAACGGCTCGTGCGGGGGCCTTTTTATTATGGATTTTTGAAGGAAAGTGAAAAGAAGAAAGAACGAAGCCAGAGTGGCCCCGGGATTACGCCGAGAAGAATCATTGAATGGGAGAAACGAGCGTCGAGCTCGGTTAGCCACGTGCTTTTTGTGGACGGGATGATTTTTGACTTTTTTTTTTTTTGGACATTCTACTTTTTTTTTTCCTATCTTCACGGAAACCCGAAACAGTGCGAAATTTTTCAGGGGCGTCGAGCGAGGGGGGCGTGAAAATAGCGCATGCGTAATAATGACGTAATTCGTCGCGCTGCATTATTAGCGGATGCTGTGCCGATAATGACGCGGGGAGTCTCGCGTAGACTTTCGATCCCTGCGTCATCCCCTACTTTTCCAAGGGATGAATATTCGCACAAAGGACTCATCTCGTCTCCTTTCTTTACGTTTACTTTCCTTTTCTCACCCGCCACTCGCTTTGCTACTCGCCGATCTTCTCTCTCTCTCGCTCTCTCGGTAGATACTATACAGAGCTTCGATCCCACGCGGGTCGAGTGCAACGTCGTGATGCGTCGATTTCGCAAATATTTGATCATTTACACGTCTTTAAAATTTTGAAAATTTCAAAAAAAAAAAGGATACCCTATACGCGTTTCCATACTGAAAATCTTCGTACTCGCATAATCATGCCTACGGTGCAGTCGTGAAAAAATCAGAAGTAAGAAAAATCAATATACGTCACAGGTATACCGACATATTGCATAGGGAAAATCGATAGTGGATATTTGAAAAAAAATAACAAAAATTTTCTACCCGAATAACCCGGGTCGCCCGTTTACGATCGTTCCCTCGTAACAAAAGGACAAAAGTGTGAAAACGGGTAAACCGCAAGTAACGAGCTATAAATGAACCAAAAAGAAACAATTACACGATATGACAGCGTCGGATAGAAAATTTAACCTAAAAGGAAAAATTTTTAAAAAGCGCGTACAGTACGTATCAAGAATAAGAAGAGAAGATCGCCAGTCGAAATAAGCGTGTAGAGGTAAAGGCGAGTGAGCGCGCAACGTGTCGAGCGGGTGGCCGGCGTCGCGGCGCGTCTCGTTCGGCGGCGCTCACGGCGTCGTCGCGAGAGGTTGTCCCGCTTGGGGTGTGACGTCACGAGGATAGTGGCCGCCCAAGCGGGCAAAATGAAGCCGCCATTGGCTGTTGGAAATGATGGCAGGCGTGCGTGCCAATCGATTGCCGTTGGTAGGCTCGGGCCTGAGGTTGCACGTAGGACCAGGGGCAAGAACGGGGTGGAAGGTGGGATTCCAGGTGGAGGGGACGGCGGCAGTCTGCTTTGGACGGCTGGTGGGGGTAGCCTACCTCGGCAGGAAGTGAGCCGAACCCAAGAGTAGGACCCCAAGGCGAAACCTACAAATGCTCAGACGGTTCCGTTCTTCCGAGGAGAGTGGAGGTCGCTTCATCGGCACTCGCTTTTAAAACGTGCGTGCGACACGACGGGTCGTACCTGGTGGTGATATACACAGTAACCGATAAATAGCTATCGCGAGAGCCACGCGCGCATCTACGGTTAACGAGAATCGCGATAAATCGTATGCAGATACAGTGCGGATTAAATCGGTGATTTTGGTTGGTCGGACAAAAATCGAGTAAAGAAAATCGATAAAGAAAAAAAAATAAAGAGGAGAATCGATATATATTACAGCTACGTTCACGGTGGTCAGTGTGAAAATCGTTTGTTCCTCGTACCGATCGTGACAATCGTACGGACTGGCAATTCGATACCGGAGGATCGCTGCATCTTGGTACGCGCTGGCGACAACGGGAAGTGACGATGACGATATACAGAGTGTTCTCGTTGACGCGCTGTGACTCTTTGACAAGTGTGTAACGATTGTATTTGAACGTTCAAGTTGTGAGAGGCCGAGAGGCTGCGATTGAGATTCTACCGTACAGAGACATTGTTCTAGATTGTATCGACACGTGAAAAGGTGGCCGATTCTGTGAATACAACTTGGTACGAATCTGTCGCTGTTTATACTGGCCCAGAGTGATCAGGGTGTTCTGTGTTTTGGTACTGTCTCGTGTAACTTGGACTCGAGTTAATTTGTACGTGGGATACACGGGGGAGGAACCGTTGAGGATTTAGCGTGACCTATCGTTGCCCATGGCACACGAGGCGGGTATGTTCGTATGAAGTGTTTGGACATGGTGGAGTTTTGAGACTGAGCTCGAGCGTCGTCGATAAGGGACGACAAGGGGGATTCGTTGGTGAGGTCAAAGGTGAATCCTGTTTAAGGATTGCGACGTGAGCCGCGCAGTAATAAAGTGAGGATCAACCGTGGAGACGAGGAGGTGAGCCCATGTTCGGTGTTCGGCGTAAGAGTTCCGCGTAGCAACCGCGGTGCCGTCGTGGACAGTCAGGGCGGAGGTGCGAGGGCTGTGACCTTCGGGTCAAAGGTCGGATCGATCGGGATCGCGGATCGGTACTTCTTGACGTCGAGCGTTATAGAAAAAGGCGGCAAGCTGTACGGGCACAGGGAGGAAGACATGCTCACGATGGAGACGGACCTGAAGGGCGGGAGTCTGCACGGGCAGATGCCACCGCATCCTCATCAGGGTGTCTCGCCCATGGGACATCATACGGGAGTATCGCCGTACGGTGCGCTGGGCTCGATAGTACACAGTCCGGCCCTGTCCGGCAGTCCACCCAGTGCCGGCGGTTTGGCTGGTCTGGGTCTTCAGCATCATCATCAGACGCCCCAGCATCACTACGCCTCGATGCAGGCCCAGCAGCAGGCCCAGGCCCAACAGCAAGCTCAGCAGCAACAGACGATGCACTCGCTGGCCGCCCAGCAGAGCGCCGCCCAGCAGCAAGCTCAGGCCCACCATCCTCACCAGCAGCCGCAGCAGCATCAGCCGCCGAACAACAACAACAACACCAGCAAGAACAACAACATCGACCGCGTGAAACGGCCCATGAACGCGTTCATGGTCTGGTCGCGGGGTCAGCGACGGAAGATGGCCCAGGAGAATCCAAAGATGCACAACTCCGAGATCTCGAAGAGGCTCGGGGCCGAGTGGAAGCTTCTCAGTGAGACGGAGAAGCGGCCGTTCATCGACGAGGCCAAGAGATTAAGGGCGGTTCACATGAAGGAACATCCCGACTACAAGTACAGACCGCGCCGGAAGACCAAGACTCTTCTCAAGAAGGACAAGTTCCCGCTTGGCGGTGGCGTCGCGGGCGTCGGCGGTATGCTCGGCGTCGATCAGAGACAAGTCGGCGGCAGTGGACCTGGTCAGCAACCTCAGCTGCCCCGAGACGTTTACCAGATGCCTAACGGCTACATGCCCAACGGCTACATGGTCCACGACCCGACCGCCGCCGCATACCAGCAGCATGCCTACGGCGGGCACATGGGTGCCGCCGCCGGGTATCCCAGGTACGACATGGGTCACCACATGGGCGGCGGAAGTCCCAGTCCCATAAACAGCTACATGAACGGCTACGGCGGATACGGGACCACGACGGTACCTGGTGGCTCACCCTCGCCGTATCACCAAGCTCAGCCGGGCTCCCAGATGTCCAGTCACAGCCCCAGTGGCAGCAGCATAAAGTCCGAGCCCACGAGTCCTGCGAGCGCAGGGATACACACCCCGACGCCGACGGGACCATCTTCCACGGGTGCGCCGGGCGGGGTCAAGAGGGAGTACATGAGCCAGCAGCAGGGTCAGCAGCAGCAGGGCGATCTGCGGCAGATGATCTCCATGTACCTGCCCCAGGGTGGCGAACAGGGGGTCGTACAACATGGCGGAGGAGTCTACTCCCCAGGACCTTCCCCGGATCCCTTGGCTCAGCATCACTCGGCCATCCCACCCCTCACTCACATGTAAGCTCAACCAAATTCAACAAATCAATCCTAATCTATCCAACGAGCCCTTATCTCTCCCGTCGCTCTTGCCGGGTGGAAGCTCCGACCTGGTCGCCAGTCGCGTCTTCCACTCTGGTCAGAGGGACTTCACGTAACGGCAGGACTGCTTTTGCAACTGGTCCATAACGCGTTGCATCCCTATAACCTCCGGCTCATGGGACCCCAAATACGTCGGGCGGGTCCCAGTTAAGCCCTGTACATAGTAATTACGCTTGCACGTTATTCATTGCGCGTTAGCCTTTAGCCACGTAGCGTCGATCTTCTTGCGCATCGTTATTGGCTCTCTTTGTCTTTCTCTCCTGCTACTGGCACGTCTCGATTTCAAGAACCAAAAGTCCGATCGGTTCCGTAAGTCGCGTCTTTGTCCTTATTTGTGTCCTCGGACTTTTGACGGCTCTGCGGGCTAAAGTCCGTGTGTACAAATAAACGTCCAGGGAAGTGTGTAATCCTTGCTCTAAAATATTTACATTCTCGGCCGAGGACGCCGGGCGTCGGTTGTCGTCGGTCCGTGCGCGCTAACAGTGCCATCGATCACTCGTGCTCTGTAACGGTATGGACGTTCGGAGAGAAAGATGCAGAATCGACGATCGCGAGAAGATCGGACGTAACTTAGAGTACGGCCAAGAAAAAGAAATTATTTACCGGAAATCGGCTAACGCAGATAATTAATAAAATCGTAGGATAGCTTAGAGTGGGAGTGAGAGAGAGAGAGAGAGAGGGAAAATCTGAAAGACACAGGAGGAAGCATGACAGACCCATGGAACGTAGATTTGGAATAACCAGGGTGTTCGCCACGCGTGATACGGCACTGTTTCCTGGTGGGCTCTTACGGGGGCTTTACGATATTAATCGCCGATTTTTTATACCTCCTCAAGGATTATCAATCACGCACGGAAAATATGTATGCACAAAAATCAGAATATATATATATATATCTATATTGAAAATAATTGACAATTTTTCATTTATGCATATCGAGTCGAATTCTTATGATAACGGCACTGAGAGTGATAAACCTGATCCCGTGGCTTCCCGTGACCACCCCACTCTCCCTTGCGATCCTTTTTCCTAATTTACTATTTTTTATTAAAAAAAAAAGAATTTTGAGGAAACATCTATGACACACGCACACACGTAACGACTCGTGACAAATCCCTTAAATCTCATATGTATATATACGTCATGGCATTCTTATACGAAATATCGAGGGTGTCTCTTTGTCTCTTGTTCGATCTTTTTTTTTCTTTTTTTTTTTAATATTTATTCTAGACTCTTATCGTTATCGCGACCTTACGAATTTCAGTAGCAATCCGTGGAAGAATGCACCTGTCACACCGTCCGTAGGATAAAATCGGGACAGATGAATTCTTTTCTTGATATGTGAGCTGAAATTTTGTATAGAAAAAAAAAAAAGAAAAAAAAAAAATCGAAAAGGTCACCGATAACGATAATAAGTATCCACGCGAATTGTAATAATTTTTCTCCTCGTTATCACGCAATGAGATATCCTCGTGTCGGTCACTAAAAATGACATCGTGATTTTCATACTCGACTGTCCTCTCGTAGTAACGTCCCGGGTTGCAGTAAACTATAAGAATGCTTGTTAATAAAGAAAGGGGGACGAATAAAAATTTTGAAAAAAAAAAAGTCATTGCCATCGATTATTAATTATTCTCCTCGAGCAATCACTGTGATAATGCAACAAAGGGGCCACCCGCGTGTGAGCGCACGAAACGCATAAATATTTTAACGCGAGAACCCGCAGGACCAGAAGCAGCCGTATCGAGTGCAGCCGAGAGGAACGTATTTCCAAAGTATACGCGTGTCTGTCAAACGAGGAAAACACAAACGTCTAGAAGCTTCGATGCTAAGTGACAGACGCTGAAAGTTGCCATCCAATGTCCAACGTTCGCGTTAAAAGCGCCTACGAACACGCGCTAAATGGACGCAATTAATGCCAGTACAAAATTGGATTAATACATCCCTCGTTATCGGCCAAGGCACTTGCGGACAGATTCGAAAAATATATATATACATATACTTGAGCACGTATATGCGTGTGTCCTATCAGATAGCATCATCTAAGCATCATCTATATATATATATATATATATATATATATATATATATATATATACAGAGTTTATTCACGAAAAACATACCAGCTGAAGTTGGAGGCGATTGAACAATTTTGTTAATCGACGCCTTGTTACCAAAAAAAAAATGAAAGAATGTGAAATTCATGGGTAAATCAATGTTACGACGTTAAATTTAATTTTTGCAATGATGCCACCCTGCTATGATTCATGAAATCACCCATTCGCGGCCAATCTCAGCTGATGCTTCTGCCGTGAATAACCCTGTATACACACGCGTAAATGAAAATATATCCAAAATCGAAATACGCTACGCGTGTGTATATATATATATATATATATATAGCATAAAGTAGGTATCACATATTTTAGCCGTGTTTTCCGTCTGTCTCTTGATGCGCTGTCGTTGCGCAATGCGCGATACCCACCGTCCCCAAAGATAAGAGCGTGAATGTGACGTGCGAACGTAAATACGAGCGAATGCGAGAATGCATAGGAATGCGTGCGAGACAATAGATCGTGATTTGTTACGAAGGACCGAAGGAGAGAGAGAGAGAGAGAGAGAGAAAAAAAGAAATTGTAGGTAAAAACAAATTGGCTCGTAGTTCTGTATTTATTTACCGGTAAACAGTATTTACGTTGTTACTATTATTGTCATTGATATTATTATTATTGAATCGAAGTCAATCGTGAAATTTGAAAATGATCGCGATCGATCAGGAAATCCGTAAAGTATCATTTTCGTTATGGGAGATATGTATGAGAGAGAGAGAGAGAGACGAAATGATACGAAAGCATATACGGTACAGCGTGTGCGAGAGAGAGAAGAAACGTATTGGATCGATCGGTTCGTTAAAAGCTCCTGAGATCCGTGAGAAAATTGCGCACGACACACGAGAGCGAATCGTCCTTGGGAATGGGGAGTCCCGTGAGTCTGGCATCCTGGCATCCTGACACCCTGGTGGCACCCCATCAGGTGATTGGCAACCCTGGCCATCCCCTGACCCTTTTTGAATCCCTCAGTCCCCCCCATCCCTCCCTCGTCACCTTCGTCATTTTCCCATCCCTTGTACGTACGCACGTGGAAACCGATTTTTTTTTTGCTTCTGAAATATATATCTCGCACAGAGTATCTGCCCCGAACGCACTTCGGCATTGCTCGGTCGTTTCCGTCGATATTGAAAAAAAGAAACAATTTTTTCTTAATATATATATAGTGAGAGCGAAAAATCATTGGAAGGGGTCGGTCATTAATACTCGGTTTAGCGATTCTTAAAGAGTGGACATATATATATATATATAGAGAAAGAGGAGGGAGAGATTAAAATTATCATTTATCATTGCGACTGCTAGTTTTTTCCTTTATCAGACACCCCTCCCCTGCCTGTCATGCCACTTTCCAAACTTTGCCCAATTCCCCTTACGTACAGTATATCTAAATATACATACGTTGTGATTAGTGATTTTATTATGATTATTCTCTCCTTGTAATTGATACGTTTATTAATTACTAATTATCATTAATTATTATTGTATTATTATACTATTACGCTACTCGATACGACCGATCTTTTCTTTTTTCTCTCTCTTATATTTTTGCATTTTTTTTTTTTTTTTTCTTTAAATTCACTTTCGTCTCACTCGCCGTTCTGCCGTTTACTTTTCACATCAATTCTCTATCCTCCCCGATCATCCAAGAAATCGTCTCCCCCTGTATCTCTTTTCCCAATGCTGTTAAATCACTGCCGTAACGCTAATATCCATGTCTCACGGAGAATTGGCGATTACCGCGTGATTGAATTTAATTATTGCTGCATATCCACTGTAATATTTGTCCCGTAGGATTTATCGGACGACGTTTACCCCATTTTATTGTAATCGGCCCCAACCGTACGCGGCCAGCGAAACGACCCTCGAAAGAAATCACGGCGGACGACTGCATCCCCTCGAACTTTAATTTCTTTCCGATACCACCTCGAGCTTCCGCGAGGACGATGTCGCGACGAGGCCTAAATCCTTATCGGCTGGGAGAGCCCACAGGTACATCGGATCGATCCTGTGAGATACGTTAAAATATATATATAAATATATACAAAGTAAACGAACAAACAAACAAATATATATATATATATATTATATATAAATGTACAAATATTATTTGGACGACGGCGTAGTCGGTGCGTGCTGTGTATCATTGCAGAGTTGTGCGCATGCGCGAGAGAGGACGAACAAAGATTCAATCAACCGATAGCATACGAGCACACGTGTATAGCTTTTATTAATTAAGAAGCGAGAAAAAATGAAAATAATAATTTTATTTCAAGCTGTCTCCGATCGAAATCTTTTTTCTTTTCATTTTTTTTTCTTTTTCTTTTTTCTTTAATTTTTTTCCTACACCAAGAACATTTTTTTTACACCTCCCCTCACTTACTCCCACCTCGTCCCGATCTATTTATCCCTCACGCGCGATCTATCCCCCCGATAACGACTCCTCACGATCTTTCGAATTCACTGAAATCATCTCACGCGACACGAATATCATTTTTCTTTGTCTCTCCTTATATTCGTTATCACAGTCATCGCTGTCGTCATCGTACACTATCAGTTCCTCCGCTCCTCTTATCTTCCCCTTGCCCTTTATCATCCTCGGCTGGATCATCGTGTGTTTCCCCACTCGGAGTACATACTATTATTATTATTATTATTATTATTAGTACTATTATTACTATTATTGCTATTATTATTATCATTATTATTGTCATTATTAATATTATTATTATTGTATTATTATATCTATTATTATTATTATTATTATTATTATTATTACTGTCATCATCATTATTATTATTAATAATAGACTCT